GTTCAACAGGGATCACTACGTCATCTACTTCTGGCAGGTCAGTAGCAGCTTCGAAATTTAATTAATGCATTCATTTATCGTAAAATGTTTGGCGGTCAGTTTCATCTGGGGTCCTGTAAAAGTTAGCCAGGCATCGGTAAAATCCTTTTTGAAAGGATTGCATTCCCAATCCACATTCCTAGTGCCGAAGTGGATTGCATTCCTACCTGCAATCCCATTTTTTCACTTGGATTGTGATCAAATCCGCAATCCTTTTTTGCAATCCTGTTGCATTATTATGTGCACTAGTGGATCTGGGGGAGGGAGGGGGCATAGGGCCGTGCCTCCATCCCCAAATCACCCATTTCTAGTACCTAGTCTTGCGAGTAATTCCTATCTAAGGCACAGGTATTTTATGGGAAATATTTTTTGCCTCAAACACCCCCACATTTAAACCTCTACCCAACCAGTGTTTTATGTTTTTAAAACTCGCCCTCAAATACGTAATTTTGTCCTTCCTATGTAGTCCATCAGCGTATATTAGATATTTTGAGCGTTTAAATTAAAGGGACCCTCCCACCTTCAAAAAAGTTTATGAATTGGCATGAAAGTGATGTCGCTCGGTTCAGAAAGAGCGAAAACGAATATCTACCAAATTTCACTGAAAACATTCACCGGTTTTCAAGATATTAGACTTTTACTTTTGTTTACTTTTTGGGATCTCTCCGCTGTTCCTAGCGACTTTATTTGGAAGCAATAGTTTGGCAGCTGAAAGTGCGGCACTTGTTGCGCGCAAAGCAGCATATACCACCGCGTGCTACAAAACGTTTTAGTCAAACATTTAAAAATCGTTAGATATCTGCGCTGACGTCACACATTCAGAGGGATATTCCTATGCATTAGCCCCTCTGAATCAAAACGCTGCAATTTTGAAATTCAATATTTCTGATTTAAGGCATTTCTCGATGTTGTGAGTGCCGAAACCGGTAATTGTGAGCCAGGGACCCCGTTTTGGCTATCTCAACTCAAATCTAATGTTAAGGTGGGAGGGTCCCTTTAAAAGCGTTTAAATTATTTCAAGTTTCGATGTAAAGCCCTTGATAGCAAAGTACATTAAGCCGATGAAGCCGATCTTATAATTTTCAATCGCAACAAACCATTTCAAAGCACTAATCAAACACAATCCGGATTGGATTGCAAAAATTGGAAGTATGATGCAATCCAATCCGCAATCAAATCCTGTTTTTTGGAATGGATTTCAAATCCAGGTGCAATCCACCAAAAAGGAATGCAATCAGGATTTTGCAATCCTGCAATCACAATCCTTCCGATGCCTGAAGTTAGCCTGTTGAAAATATGCATTGTAATTTGAATGTATTTGTAAGCATTCTTGTATGAGCTTTCCCTCTGACAGAAAATCGACGTTTTACCACAGCTGCAACTGAAACAGATGTGACCTGTCTCTGAAGCTCGTATCTGTCCATCCAGGGCAACCAAAGCAGCCAGGACGAGCGGGCGGCCGCGGCGCTGCACGCCGTGAAAATGGACGACGGCCTGTGCGGCCGCGCCGTGCAGGTGCGCGTGGTCCAGGGAAGAGAGCCGCGGCACTTCCTGACGCTGTTCAAGGGTGAGTGAGACGACGGCGCTCTCACTACAATCAGAGCCTATATGTCACTGGACGGTGGAAAGCGTTCAGGTTTGTCTTCTTGTACAGTCCTTTATAATTTGCACAATAAATTACGGCATTTTTTCATTTTAATCTGTACCGTCTAAAACTTTTCATTTCTGTCAGATATTTTTTCATGCCGTCAGGGGAATATCTTTCTCCAGTCTCTTTCACGCCCCCTTGCCGCGCTACGATTCCCAGGAAAGATGATCGTGTTCATGGGCGGCCACGCCAGCGGCTTCAAGAACATCCACGACCACGACACGTACGACGTGGACGGCACGCGGCTCTTCCACGTGTGCGGCACGAGCGAGGTGGACACACGTGCCGTACAGGTGCCCGAGGAAACAAAGAGCCTCAATGACGACGACGTCTTTGTGCTGGAGACGCCCAAACAGACCTTCATCTGGTACGGCAAGGTCAGTAACGCGGCGCACGGTGCAGGGCGACATAGGAAATTGTGTCTTATGAAGGACGATTCAGTTCATTCAAATGTTTACCGTGATTGTTGCTATAAATGAAACACATTTGACGCTGAGTGTTTTGACTTCAGGAATGTTGTGATGAGGAGAGGGCGATGGCAGACAACGTGGCCTCTCTGGTCTCTCCCGGACGGACGCCGGTCAAGATTAACCAGGTGAGAACTCACTGCGACCACACTGCGAAACATCATGACCTGGCGACGTTATACATATTATCCGAGGCATCACCTCACGCCTGCCTCACCTCGGTCTATGCTGTGCGGTGTGATCGTCATCCGTGACCCCGTTCTGACCCCGTTTGTTTGTTTGTTTTGTTGGGTTAGGCCCTTTCGGTCGACAAGACCATTGCAGAGCCGGAAGGATGATAGGAATTAGGGGGAGACATTGGTCTGGGCAGGCACCCTAGTGACCCCGTTTACCGGTCCGTGGTGCAGGGCGGCGAGCCGGCGGAGTTCTGGGCCGCGCTGGCCGGTGACCCCAGTGAGGTACAGCAGGTCACCGAGCCGACAGCGCCACCTCTCGAGAAGAAACTCATCCACTGCTTCGAGAATGTGGCCGGCGAGTTCATCGTGGAGGAGGTGGAGGGCTTCGAGCAGGACGTGAGTGATTTGGGAGGGTAATGATGATTGGCACGGATATGCTTTTGTTCCACTTCGGGGGGATGATTTTTTTTTGTTAGTGCAGACGGTTATTACTTCGGGATTCAATGAAATGGATTATTTTTTTTATGGAATACAAATAAAATATAGCTAAAATATTTATAAGGAATATGATTGAGTGTACTCCCCTATTCAAACTGATGAAATTGAAGGAGACATTTACTGCGCCCTTGAAAATGAAGTTGCTCGTCCAGCAACAGGTCCACCGAGCGGCTACTTACCATTCTATTCATAGATGGCGCTGGTGGTAGGCGCCTGAAACCATGCTGTGCCGCATGGCATGGATGATTCGAAATTCGAATAGTCACGATATCTGTTTGTTTGCGAAAAATCTGACATCTTGCTTGTCATCAGCATTGAAAATGCTAAAAAATGTATCCCCTCCCCCACCCGCTAAACCAAATGTCCAAATGCCTTGCCCTTCACAACCTTATTCAAGGACCGCATATGACGTATGTACAATGTACAGTCCTCAAGCAGACTGCGTGGTAGGTCTTCTTTTTTTTTCGACAAAGCCAGTAATAAATCAAAGACTTTGTTGTCAGTCGGTCGGAACTCACTGAAAATAGAGGCGCCATGCTCTACTCCTTCGATTGGGTATATCACTAAACAAAGTATATGCCTTGTGTGGCAACAAAATGCAAAAGTTTGTTTTGGGGGCAAATGTAAACTTTTGGGTTTTGTTGCCAAGCTGGATGGAAAATGAATGCGATGGCAATGCCAATCTAAGGTGCGGAGTCTCGCGCATCTTGCTGTTATGATTTCCGAGCGACCGATAGCATAGTATCCGCGTTATTCTCGGTTTTGTCGAAGAAAGAATACCTACCACGCAGTTTGCAGAGGGCTGTACAGTGTACATACAGCGATTATGTATTGATTTACCAATGTTTTTGGCATTTTCTGCAGGATTTGAACGAGGACGATGTGATGATCGTCGATACTGGCGACGAAGTCTACTGCTGGATCGGTAAAGATGCCAGCAGACAGGAGAAGGAAAAGACCTTCCAGTATGCCACGGTAAGTGATATCCGGCTCTGGTCCTTGGTGAAGCACAGGACCTAACTGTGAGTGAACTACAATAAAAGTAGCCGTATAAATGATACACGTTCACATGTCTCTTGTTTGGGTAGAATGTCTTTTTTGTACTTTCTCTAAAGGCTCGTGATGTTGCCAGTAAACCTGAACATGTGTCGACTCGAGTGTCAACATCATTCGACTCGAGTGTCCCTTAGTGCCGATTCAGCGACCAGGCTGTTCCGTGTTTCAGAAATACGTCAAGTCGGACATGACGATTCGCGAGGACACCACGGTGATTCGCGTCCCGGAGGCCCGCGAGCCGCCCTCGTTCAAGGCGCTCTTCCCCAGCTGGGACGACAACATGTTCGAGGTAACATCAGACGGTTCAGTGTGGATAGATCCGACTGTCGCAGTGTACTACAATGCAGATGTAGCGCTTTCAATTAATGAATTTGTGCAAAATTGACACCACGGTATGCCAGGCCCTGGTACGCCACAATCCGCGATGAGAGTGAACACTGAACGTTTGAAATTGACGCGTTCAGTTGTTTATTTGCTAAACCTGTCGCCGCCTCCATAACACCACATATCCGTATATCTGTTTACAGAAGAGGTCCGCTCCCCCGGGCCTGTGAACGGCAGGAGGGCAAGACGGGCTGAGCTGCAACTACAGGAGACGCGGCCGAGCGTGCCTGCAGCGCCGTAACTCCCCCAAATAACAGCCAAATCCGACCCCAGGCCGCGCCGATTGGTGGGAACTTCTCTTTCTGTGTGTGCCATAGAGTTCATAACATCACTATAGTGTTTGCTATCGACGAGGTAAGTTCTTTTTCACGAAAGTATTTCTTGCCATGCCAAACATGTTGACTTTTTAAGCCTCCAAACACGGCTCTTTTGTCAACACTGGATAGCAACTAAATATTGCACAAATACTTATTAAACTATTTGACCTCAATCAACAGGATATAGGTGACTAGATCATTTTAATCAATTTCAACAGCTTGTTAGAAAACGAGTTAGAATGAGTCTATGCGATGTTCTCAATTGCAAAGTGTATTTCGGAGCTGTGAAATTTGAGTGTAAATTTACATTTAATATCAGTGCAATTGTGAAATGTGTTGATTTCTGTAATACACGCCAACTTTTTACCAAAAGCTGTCACTAACAGTATTAATTCTAAGGAAGCCGTGATTGTGCAAAGGTTGATAGTATATTTTACGACAGATATGATAGATAAGGTCACACAAAAAAGCACGAAAGGAAGTAAGATTTTTTTATGTAGAGCTGTATTCGAGTTCTAACTTCTAAGTTTACAAGCTACCATTGGCTCACGTTCCCACAACTTCATAACGACGCCTTATTTACAAATGCCAGCCAGTCTCACAGGCACAGTCACGTTATCCCGTTTTCAGAAAAGCAAATCACAAACGTCTGGTCTCTGATAATTAATCATCGAGTGTCTCGCCTCGCAGAGATCACAATTGTGCGCTCATGCTCGAATCTTGAGTTATTTCATCGCTCTAGCACTTGAGAAAAAATAGAAAACTAACTAGCATTTGAATTACTGCGGTCTGTATATTGGAATACAGTCAGCAGCTCTTCAGTCATTTCTATACGAACGGCATGACGATGTTCACTTAGTCCGATAAAAAGTATGTACCGTCTATCAATCATACAAAACTAGTTCCTACCATTAAAAGTCTTTCTGAATGGCTTGGCCGGAGTGGTGTATCAGTTGGACGGAATATTATCACGAGGACTGCGGGTCTCCACAGGACATCCCACAGACACACAGTCACAGTCACAGTTATCGAGAGTCTCGGTCCGTTCCCCACAGGACCGGCCCTGGACGGACCACTGTCAGGCCACTCGGTAGCCTTGGGAGCTCAGATCTGTTTCCAGCTCTTGGACGGTTCATGGAGTAGAATGTGCTCTCAGCATCAACACCCACACGCCACATTTGATGAGTTACTAGTTACTACAAGTAAGGAAATATAGTTATATAAAAGTTTAAAAATAGACGAGTCAAAGAAGAAAAGTACCGTAATTTCCTATCAAAAGCGCAGGTTTACAAAGTCAAAAGATCAAATCGTTTCACATGGCTAACCTCAATGGAATCTAGCGCAAAACACGCATCACAATAAAGAGCAACACTCTCTGCTCGTCGCTCCTCAGTCAAGTTAATGTCACAGATAAGGCTGTGTTGTTACAACCAGGTAAACGTGGATCACTAAAGCCACCCGACGTATACGGGACACTGAGTCTATCACCACGCTCCAATGTCAGCTTTGCCACTGTCTCTTCGTCCCTACCAGACGGACTACAAAGTATGAGCGCTCTGCGCCCTCACCACACGACATCATGGGCACGCTACTCCGGCGCCGGGCTGGGCTCTCGACTGGTTCTGAAGTTGGCCGCTAGGCGGCAGACGTGGGCGCGCCGCTCGGCCTCCTGTCTCAGGAACTCCTCATGTGAGATCATCACAGAGTCCAGCTCGGTCGCGCTGATCTCAAACTGGTCGGGCTCCCGGGCCTGTCGACTGGCCGGGGAGCGCGGCGGAGGGTTCGGAGGGGGTCCTCGACGGGAGCGGGCCGGCGCAGACTCCGACTCAGGTGACTCTGACTCCGGAGCCGCACCCGACTCGGAGGGCGCTGCCTGAGACTCCGCTGACTGAGGATCAGCGGTGGAAGACGGGGATTCGGCGGATTTGGCTGGTGAGCTGGGTGATGAGTTTGACTCAGTTTTGGGCTCAGCGGCGGGCTCATGAATAACTGGTAGAACCACGGACACCACAGAGGGCACTGGGATCGCGTCGGCAGAGTATGTGCGCATGGATGAGCTCTCGACGGTCGATTCCTCCCTCCCGTCAGAGCTGTCCGAATCAGAGTTTCGCTTTAGCTCAGATCGCACGATGCGCGGGAATGCTGGCGGAGTCCTCTCCTCCGCATTAGCGTCTTCAGTTTCTTCTGAGCTGTGCCTGGAGCGCTCCTCATGGGTATCCAGTCCATTCACAGGCACATCGAACGAAGCGTCCTTCCCAGGTGTCTCATCTATTGGAACAGCAGGTGGCGCTGGCATCTCCTCCTCGTCCTCCGGGCCGTGGTGGTTGATGCCGTTAGAGGTTACAGGCGGAAGGAGTTGGTTAGCCTCGTTCTCCGGCTCCTCCTGAATGGATCCCGTGTCCAGAGACTCGTTGGACGAGGTGACGGACATGATGTGACGGTTCTGAGCCGCTGCGTACCCCTCCTGCTGACCCAGCCGGGTCAGATCCATTTGGTCCCGGGCGCAGGCCGCCGCCGAGACGCGCGAGCCGCCGTCCGGCTGGTCCCCGACCCCGATCTGCATGGAGACGGTGCGGCCCAGCGGCGAGTCGGCCCTGGGCGGCTCGGAGCGGGTCAGGTCGCCGGTGGAGGCGCACAGCCGGCCGCTGGTGGCCGCCGCGTCCCGGGAGAGCACCTCTGCCACCGGGCCGCCGCTGTCCCGCCGCCGTACCGCGCGCACCGCTCTGAGCGCCTCCGGCAGCGCGGCCGCCTCTGAGCGGGCGCGACTGACGGCGGCAGCAGACGGAGGGGCGATCCTCTCCTCCGAGCCCGCCTGCAGCCGCCGGCTCTCAGTCGCTCCCACGATGGCCGGTTCGGTCCTCGGCGACTTTTTCTCCCCGACCTCGATCAGACCAGTCACCTCTCCCGTGATTCTGGGAGCGGTGCTGGTGGACGTCGGACCGTCACACGGGCATCGGTCCACGTGGTTCCTCTCCACCGTCTCACCGACAACGTCGACATCTTCGTCCGGCTTTATCCGTTTGTCTTTTGGAGACTTTGAGGGTGTGAGTGAAAGCACTTCCTTAAAGGCATCGAGCTTGTCTATCTTCATTTTTGGTGATGATGTCTCATCCTGATAAGCACTGACAGATCGAACAGTCTTCGTGAGTTCTTCCTCTTCCACCACTTTGACCTCGTATTTAGCCTGATCCACGGGAGACTTCCCAGTCTCCTTGTCATTATCTAGCTCGTCTTTTCTATCGGACACGTCTACCTGCTCGACTTCGGAAGCCTCCTTTCCGCCCTCCGACTGAGGACTGTCTGGGGTCACTGTTCGTGGCATCGCGACTGGGGGCGTTCGCTCGTCTTCAGGAGTTTCCCTCTTGTCCTCCAGCACCTCTGCGCTGTCTGACACTGGCTGCTCCTCGGTTGGAGTCGTCTGCTGGTCCGTGAGGACCTCGGTACTGCTGAACAGAGCACTGCGCGCTGGCCGGTCCACCCGGCTCCGTCGGTCTTGGGCCACTCCCGCGGCCAACAGCATTTCGTCGGGAAGCTCAAAGGACATCTGCTTCGGCCGCTCCTGGACGGGGCTCGAGGGACCGGAGCTTGTCTTCGAGCTGGAACTGCAGCTACGGCTTCTCGTGTCTTTCTTTTCCACAGCACTGTCGTCGTGACTTCCTTTGGTACCAGAATCATCAGTCTGTGGCTTTTCGTCTTGGATAAGAATGTTGAACTCGCTGCTTAGCTTCACGAACTCGACGTCATCGTGGCTTTCCTTCTCTCTCGTCTGCTCCTCTGGCGATGATGCATCTCGCGATGTTTTTACCTGCTCTTCATTGTTCGGGCTTCTGATCACATCGCTCTGATCGGAGGACCCGGACTCGTGTCGGGGTTTCTCCTCCTTTCCTTCCCTCTCGAGGGTGCTGTCGCCGGCGGCCCGCTGCCGTTTGGCCGGCTCGGGCCGGTCCGGCTGGTCGTCCACCTCCCTCCTGGCCAGCCGCTCCTGCGTGTTGAAGCTGGACGTGCCCATGCGGACGCGCCGGTGGTCGCCCTCCTCGGCACTGGGGGTGCTCGGCTCCCCGGTCTCGTCGTCCAGGTCTCGGCCGCACGGCTGGTCGTTGGCCAGCCGGGTGAGGCAGGCGTCGAGACTCGGTTCGGCCGGGTCCCGCGAGGCCAGGCGCAGGGAGGGCACACCGAGCGCCACACTGCGGCGACCCGACTCGGAGCCGGGCGTTCCGGACCCGGTGGATCCGGATCCCGCGGCTCCCGAGGGCATCAGAGGGGGCAGCACCTGGACACCCAGGTGGCGGGCCTTCGCCGAGGACGATGGCTCCGTCTGAAAAAGACGGGCAGTGAGTCAGGAGAGTGTCAGCATTAACGTCGTTCATCTCGACTTCCAATGTCACGTAGCACTCGGTTAAAGAAATGACGTAATCAATAAAATTAGGTTTGACGTTATAATGAAAAGCGATTTGTTTTTCGAAGACATGATAGGAGAGTTGTAATGGTACATTTAATTGAGCCGAAATTCGTCGTAGGAATAAAAAGCTGATGAATGTGTATGCTTACGTCTTTCTTTTCATGCGAGCTACTGATGTCCTCGGGAACATCGACTGCCATCTCCCGGAAGCCCTCAGAGGTGGAGCCAGCAGCCGAGGCGTCGCGCTGCACATGCTGGACCGTCTCCTTGCGGGGGTCGCTCCCGGCCTTCGGTGCGGCGACCGTTTTCCTCTCCGGCTGGCCCGAGCTGCTGGCGCTGGACGGACTGCTGGTGGTGGGTGACCTATCCGACCGGCCGCCGCGGTGCGACTTTCCCTGAGAGACCGAGCGTTCATTGTTAGGAGCCAGCATGAACATTGCAGCCGGTGGAAAACTTTATAAAAAGTTTTGCCTTCATTCTGTCTAAAAATCTATAGACTCTATATTAAGATCAAAGAAAATAGCTACACATTTTCACGCACATTGACACTTTAAAAGAGCATTTGTCTCATCCGACGCCCGGGGACTTATTGACATACACCAGGGCACCGCTCATCATAATTTACATATGTTAAAAAAACACGCCATCCGTCGAGTCGTGCCCACCCACGCACCTCTGCTAGGTCGGTTCCGCTCTGCTGGCGGCGGTCGGCGGTGCCGGTCGGGGTTGCCGCCTTCCTCTGTCCACCGGGCGCCTTCTGCAGGTGCAGCTGCACGTCATACGGAGACGACTGACTGAGGATGGCTGTGGCGTCATCGAGGGTGATGTGCGCGAACGAGACCGTCACCGCCGTCACCCGGTCACCTGGGGAGAGGGTCAGAGGTCAGCCGGGGAGAGGTCATCAGAGGTCACCTGGGAAAGGTCACAGGTCAACCGATCATCAGAGGTCACCTGCGGTCGCCTAAAGAGTCGTCACAGGTCACCTGTCGGTTAGCTGTGGATGGGAGTTGGTGGTCGCCTGTGGTCACCAGGGACAGGTCACAGGTCACCTTGTCTAATTTTGGCAGTAGATAGACACAGGTATTTATTACCGTCATTTACGTAACTTGCAGCACAGACGACCGTAAAGAAGTCTCAGAGACGTCTTTAGGATAAAGGTGGAACGTCTATCGTGACAATCTCACTGCCACAATAAATGTCGCAGTCAAGGCTGTTTTCCAATAATCTATCTAAGCGGCTTAGCTGAATCGTTGCCAAGGTTTTGACTGGAGGCGCATAACTCCTATATTTTAGTGATACAGCGGTTACTCGCTGCTGCAGCCTATGAGCGTAACGACCATTTAGCATTGTTAACGTTCGTTACTTCCTCAATTATCTGAGAAATGTGAAGGACGTACTCTAGCAGCGCAAAAGTTCCCCGTCACTGCAAAGATATTAGCTGAGCATTCCTGCATATCTGAGATGATAAAAGCATCGCTCTGGTCGTGACGGGGACTGCTGCCTGTCTGTCGAGACTGCTTTCAAACCGAACTTGAATAATGTTATCTGAAGGTTATCCCTTCACCGCAGCGTCATATACCAAGGTGCTACGACCTCATGCAGACTCTATCGCACAGTCTCCTGGTCAGTGTTGGATCGCTTCGTAGCAGGCGGTCGTCTGGTCGCTTCCCCGTCTGCCAGCTGTTGTCCAGCCGTGCAGTCGATATGTTACAGTTAGTATGCGAAATCCGTTAGTTTGCAACGCAACTAGTTTCGTTGCAAACTACCTGACCGGCCAGGTAGTTTGCAACGAAACTAGTTCCGTTGCAAACTAACTGACCGTCTAGTTAGTTTGCAAACTAACTAGTTAGGATGCAAACTACCTAGTTACTTTGCAACGGAACTAGGTGTGTTGCAACGGAACTAGTTGTAATGCGAAATCGACGAGGCAGTGGCTCTATTTGTCGGTTATATTCAACTTTTATGTAAATTTTAGCAACGGTTGTTAAAACAAAGCTGTGTTTTCCTAACGGGTGACACTAGACATAAGACGGGTGGTCACATTTAGGATAGAAACAGTGAATTAACCGGATTCGACTACATAACGTTACGATCACTGGCGAATCCAGAGGGGGGGGGCGCCCAAAATCGCTCCGCCATCCACGCAGCGCCCGAAAGCGACAAATATTTACTTATTTTGAGAACAAAACGAAAACTGAGCAACTTTTATAATCAAATACTTGTTTTAGATTGCACAGCCGTGTGTAAGGATTGGAATCAAAATCCGAAAGGTTTTTGGAAAACTTTTTTGGGATTATGTCTCCCGCAACGTTTAAGACCATCTTTCTGGAACCACCAGTGATCACCAAAAATGTGTAGACATAACCCGGGCCCCACTGGGGGGGGGGAGCTTTTAATAGCCCCCTAACGTTTTTCTGCAATAACTTCTAAACCGCTTGACGTATCGCCGCCAAACTTTCAGTAGGTACCTTCGGCTGCATCAATTTGACATCTTGTGTCAAAATTTGAACTTCGTATCTATCATAGGTCGGCCGGAAATGACGTCAGAGTGACGTCATGTTCGATTTTCAAAATTTTCATAATTTTCAAAATTTTGTTAACTTTGAAAATTATACATAGTAAAACATAAAATTTGTATTTTTATCTTTTTTTCAAAAACTTGGATTTTTCGAAAAAAAAAAACGGAATAATTAATGTAATAGAACACATGCTTATGACTAACTCTAGCAAGTTTTAGCCAGATATCTTCAAAAATGGCCAAGTTATACGCATTAATAGCAAAGATTCCACAATTTTAAATTTTCAAATCAATTTTTTCTGTACCAATTGGACATCGTACACCAATATAAACAGCACCATCGTGTTCCTGAGCTCAAACTGCATCCGATAGACATGTTTTTTGTTGAAAATTTTCAACTTTAAAATTTGACCTTTTTTGACCTGAAAGTGACCTGACCTCAGCATATTCAGATGTAAATGGCCTCAACTGACACAGGCGACACCGAATTCGAAATATATGGCCTATATGGACCATAAAACATGTGTCACGTGACCGACTTATGACATAAGATTTCCGTGACCTATGATGAACTGACCCTGACCTGAAAATCAAAGTACAAGTTTGGTACCCTCAAAGTATCTAAAGCATCTGTTCACGAGTGTGGAAACCAAAAATCAGCCTGATCCGACTTGTAAGACGGCAGCCACAGAGCCCAAAAGGTAAACAAGCCAAATATCGATAATTTTTACTTTGACCTGACCTGTGACGATATCGGTGACCTCGAGATCAATGAAATTTGGTTTCCTTCGACAGTTTTTCCGGGGCTATTAGATGCCGTTTGAATTTTGACGATCGGCCCAGTAGTTTCGGAGTAAGGAGGGGGGTCTATGAATAGCCCCCCCCCCCCCCCCCCAGTAGGGCGTGTTGTACACAGACCTCAGTGGGGCGCGGGATAAGCGGAAAGTAAAGGTTCTGCTGCCGATTTCGGAATATTCCAGAACCGAGTCGCTGACGAGCTCCTACCTCCACAACCGATCAGTCTGTTGTGGCTGTGACGCAACCTGCCCTTTGATTATTGGCTGTTACCGAATGACCCGGCACCGCCGCTAGGTCACCTGGCTAGGCAAGTCGCAGTAGGGGTCGGCCGGTGAGACAGATTCTTGATCGCACGCTTACCCCGGATCACGGGACAATTTGGGACAATACAGTTCAGTTCTGTTCTGTGCGGCGGCGGTGGTGACTGGTGTTAGTGGGTGTCTAAAAAAAATCCAAATCGTAAAATGCCCCCCGGAACTGCCTCTCCTCTGGATCCGCCAGTGATCGTCACATTATGTATAGTCGAAACTGTTTCAATTTTCATCCATAAATGTGACCACCCGTCCTACACGTATGTCTACTGTCTAGTGTCACCCGTTAGAAAAACTCAGCTTTGTTTTAACAACCGTTGCTAAAATTTACATAAAAGATGAATATAAACGACAAATAGAGCCACTGCCTCGTCGATTTCGCATTACAACTAGTTCCGTTGCAACACACCTAGTTCCGTTGCAAAGTAACTAGGTAGTTTGCATCCTAACTAGTTAGTTTGCAAACTAACTGGACGGTCAGTTAGTTTGCAACGGAACTAGTTTCGTTGCAAACTACCTGGCCGGTCAGGTAGTTTGCGACGAAACTAGTTGCGTTGCAAACTAACGGATTTCGCATACTAACTGTAACAGATATACGGTGACGGCGCTATTTCCAATCGTGACGGTACGGAGCAGAGGTGCGCGCACCCGACTGTGAAGGCTGCCAGACCGCCGGGGCAGCCAGTTTCCGAGTCGAGACGCTCCAGTAACGCCGTTCACGCATCGCAGCGCTCGCACTAACGTGGTCGGACGGTCGAACGGCCGAAGGCCATTCGATCGACTCCGGCTCACGGGCAGAAATAGAAAGGAAATGCCTGTGGGGCAAACGCTTTGTCTTTTATTTTCCTGCCATACAAGGAAAGCAGTGTGCAGCTTGCTCAGTTTTGTTCATTCAAATGTGCGCATTTGAGCTCAACGTTTGACCTTGAGGTAGGCTCTCTAGACTATCCGTCTCACCGCCGACTTTCCCCTCTGACCACTACTGGGGCTGCTTTCGTCTCTGCCATGGCCGGACGGCCCTCCCTTTGCACGGCTCTACATAGGGTAGGACTCTTCCTTTACACGGCTCTGCCAGGGATGGTCCCACTTGGGCTCCTCCTTAGGACGTTCTGCCATGAAACAGCTCTGCTTTCGGAAAGCCCTGTCATGGACAATGGACATTGTTCGGTCATGGGATGCTCAGCACGGGACATCCCTAACTTGGGACGGTCTGCAAGGACATCTCTGCCACAAGACACCTCTACTTCGGGACGGCTCTGTCATGAGACTTGTCTTCCTCACCACTACCCTGGGACGTCCCTGCCGGCTCTGTCATGGACCGACTCTGCTCGTACCGTGCCGGGCAGTTTCGCCGGCGGCTACCAAGAGTATACAGCGGCTGCCTGGCCGGCACCGCGGCCATCCAAGGCCAGACGTGCCGGTCGGTGACGTCACGGGCCGGCGGACGGCGGGCCTCGGCTGCTGAGTCAGCGTCGTGCACCTGAGGCACCTGAGTGAGGCACCTGAGGCAAAGTAGTCCTGCCCGCTGCCGGTGGCAGTGTGTGCGCATACGGTTTGAGAGAGAGAGAGAGAGAGAGAGAGAGAGAGAGAGAGAGAGAGAGAGAGAGGGAGAGAGAGAGAGAGAGAGAGGGAGAGGGAATGAGGGAGGGAGGGAGGGAGGGAGGAGAGAGGGAGAGGGAGAGAGAGGGAGGGAGAGGGAATAAGGGAGGGAGGGAGAGGGAGAGGGAGAGGGAGAGGGAGAGGGAGAGGGAGAAGGAGAAGGAGAGGGAAAGGGAGGGAGAGGGAGAGGGAATAAGGGAGGGAGGGAGGGAGGGAGGAAGGGAGAGGGAGAGGGAGAGGGAGAGGGAGAGGGAGAGGGAGAGGGAGAGAGAGAGAAGGAGAGGGAAAGGGAGTGAGAGAAAAGGGGAGAAATGGAATGGCCACGGCAAGCACGTGCAGCGGCGCCAGTGACTGGAGTCTGGTATTTATTTACGACGACGTTTGATACACTAGCGGTGAAGAGAGAAGTAAAAAAGCGGTTATTGCAGAGGTGCAGCGGGCAGCACCAGCCACACATGGCTTGGAGACGGCTACAGCGGTAACTTGACGCTCGAGTATGATGCGCTGTATGATGCCAAGGATGAGAGTCCGGAAGGGGATTTTTGATGCACAAAACCATCGTCGATCCATTAATCCATTGTTGAGCTATCGATCCATTTGCCCACAGCCGCGGGAACGTAATAGTCTCGGTGACGGTTCAGAAAAATGGCTTCTTGTTGATAGCTTGATGTGCACTAGGGGAGAGTGGGACAAAGCGGCCACCCTAACGCTTCTCACGATGCCAACGCTTGATTTTTAAACTTGGAAAGATTCTTTCTATACCAATGTGATCCCTATTAAGTTGCCTTTTATTTCAACTGCGTTTTATTTCCAAAGGCGTTCACATATGAAAGATATTGACAAAACTTTAAACCTATGCATATTGGCCACTTTGCCCCATACCCTGGGGCAAAGCGGCCACCGGCGTCTTCTCAAGTCCCGATATGAGAAACAAAATAGTTGCCTCGTGTACGACTAGGGTATTTGATGGTGACAAGGTTAAGCAAGGATGGATGTTTTCTTTATCATCTTCCACCTGTAGGTAAACAAAGAAAGGATTTTCATGAAAAAAAATATTTAATTGCATTATTTGGTAACTCACGCAACTGAAAAGTGGCCAAGATGAATGCATGACGACACATTTGAATGTAAATAATGTTTTTTATCCAGATGGAAGCCACTTATGGCCAATTTGGGGGTGGCCACTTTGCCCCGGCCACTTTGCCCCGCGCATACCGTCCGAGACAAAAATATTCCAGCTTAGCTATTAGTGGGGTAAAAAACATTAAAATTGGTAGAATACATGTACGATAACCATGCAATGCATGGACAAGAACGCTTATAAAAATTCCAAACGGTTATGGAATAACATAACCTTTAAAAATTGTAAACATAGTTGGTAACCTGGCAAGAAATGCTTTCCCGTGTTTCACAGAACAATGGTGATGGGCCTGAAACCCCGGTCTGGCTCACTCGAACGACCGTGAAGAGAAGTATAATTGGAAACCATAAATTGGAACTGACGCCAGCTATGAAGGGCTAAAACGATGGGTGGCCGCTTTGCCCCGGGTGGCCGCTTTGCCCCACTCTCCCCTACATAGTTAGTTAGTTGCCTGCCATTCCGAAACACCCGCCTCGCCGAGGTTCACCTTGACGATAGGAAAATCCTTTAATTTCGGTTTTAGTTAACTACAGGTATTGTCACACGTAGCTTTTAAAAATTGGCTTCCTGGAAACCCTTCTTCTGGTTCTGGTTAATCAATAATCGACGAGGTCGACCTAGGCAACGTTTTCCATTTTGTTTTCCTTGCTACGTCAGAATTCCTCAAAACAATCCATTGATGAATTACACATATGAACATTTTCCTTTCACTATACATCCGATTACTGACCAAACTATATATCACCTCTCCATAGCCGGACCTCATGCCTTCCGGTGATGTCATTGCTTCTGAACCACCAATCAAAAGACGTCACACCGCCGGCCACCCGCCAGTGTAATGTTCCGGCAATCACACGGTGGTGACGTCACTCGGTGAGTCTGACGTCATCCCAGACCCTCCGTCTCCGGAGCAGGCTCTGGTGATCACACGGTGATGACGTCAGTGTGACGTCACCATCCGGTCACCGGCAGCCTTGGAGAGCGGCGGCCGGTGAATTGTGGGAAAACTGGCCGCCGCTCCCACGCCCACATCGTCAGGGACCGCCGCAGCAGGCAGAATAAGGCGCAGAACGTAGTATACTCCTCCATACTGGCTCTTCCAGTTCGTCGGCTGCTCTGAGGCAACTTCATGTTTTGTCTTGTGGAAAGCAATATAAATGTCTACTTCTTTCCGTTTAAATATCTAAACGGCTTTTTAGGATCCCGTTTCGTATAAGTGGTTTCGTGATGGCTTAGCCCTTTGCTCTTATTACCAGGTCTTCGAGGTTATGAGGTCTTTGCTCCAGCCAACTGCAGGTCAAACTGAGATTAATTTACCGTTAACAGCATTCCTACCGGTTACCTGTACCAGCCTTCTCTCCGAGGATTTAGACTCCAAGCAGGAAGGGTCAGACTTCCGAACCTTTGGCTCGCATGACTGGACCAATTTACTATTACGTCTATGAAACTACTGCTCCTGTGATAGCACTCTTCTCTGGCAGCATGCGCTCAGAACTGACCTGGCTGTACCCTGCCCGACTCCAGCGCCGGCCCGTGCTGGGAGACCGTATGGACGAAGATGCCGTCCCGCATGCCGCCCTGCACGGTGAAGCCCAGTCCGGTGAAGTCGTGACCCTTCAGAGGAACGGTGACCTGGTCACCCTCCTGTGGACAAAATCAGGACGTGGTCAGCAAGGCGCCCATAGGCGAAATTTACACGGATACATTGCGAGTACGTGATGACATAATTCAATGGAGGGAATACCATTTTTTTCAATTATCTCGCGCCAAACGTATTGAGGCTGGTTCGACCCTATAGAGCTAACTCGCGGCCGAAATGACCTGTCCTATTATGTATTAGGGTTACGGGATAGGGTGTGACCTACGTTAGCTGTGAGGTCGTCGCTGGGCGACTGCCCCTTGGGCTGACTGCTCGAGGTCGGAGTGATGACACAGAACCCGTGCTTCTTCGGAGTCTTGAAGTCGCCGCTGCGAGACGTTCCCGTCTGCCGGACAGTCCCGCGGACTGGTTACAATGTTGGTACTCCACGCGGTTTTCACACTTTTCACTGAGCGACTTAATACCTATGCACATAGTTTGTAAAGGTAAAGTGAAATCAAATCCTTAAAGTAATCGCACAAAACGTTCATCTGAAAGTTTGGACAGCCAATATGACACTTAAGTTGATCAATATTCTGGACGCTCGAACAAAGGTTAGTGATACTGATATGATGAAGCAAGCACATGAAGTGAAACTGACCTTTTCGTTTATAGCGAGTATGTCATGGCACGGCAGGGTACCTGAAAAATAGCAACAACGACGTAAGTCGATAAATCATAAGGCAGTTGCTCTATAGTGACTGTGATACGATCGCCGTTCTGTACGGAAATATCGCCAGCCGTGCTGGAGTGGTGACACGAGCAGGCTCGGGCGTGAGAGCACTCTTAGCGATACTGACTGAATGAGAGGGTCGCCGGTGGCTGAGCACAGCTTAGCTTGTGTTAAGTGTCACTTGTCAGAGCTTTCCTAAAGATCGAAATGTACTGTGCAGCTATACACGCGGCACTCACGAGGACTCAAACCAGAAAACCATGCTTTTCGGAAAAACAAATCGTTAATCATAACGGAAAGCCATATACGCTCCTGCATTAAAAGTCATACGGTATCATCTTTGACAGAATAATGCATGTGCTGATTAGGTACATCATCACGTCAATATAATGATAATGAAAAAATAGTCGACGCAAAACTAAAATACCTCAGGGTCAGCCTGAATTGGTAAAAAAGCACGCATAACGCTCATTACAATGTGTTTCGCTACTATGTGATGTGTGCAATGCACATCCAATTCAAAATATATCGTAATAATGCGTGAAAATATCAGGATATATATGCCTAAATCTCGTCTCGTGCGATTCGGCCGTCATGCTCTGGCTCGCTTTTGTTAGCTATTCGGAGAACTGCCGAGCCATTTCCCCGACCGACAGACGACCTCAGGTGCGGTCCAGAGCAAACGCCCGCCCATTGCACCTGCAGCTACGTCCGTACTCAGGTCACATCTTTACAGACCAAACACCCAGTCCGACCAAACGTAGAAAAGTACCAGTCATGGACGTAGCCAAATAAGCCTTGGGCGAGCCGTGACCGTCATTAGAGTCCTTTCTCCTGCGCTCCTCTGACTCTCCTCGCTCCCCTCTGCACGGGGAGGGGATGCAGTCAGCTGCAGAGTCCCGGACCGCGCTGCGGTGCAGGAGCCATCTCCACCATGCCCGGCCGGCCGGCGCGCGGTGGTCAAACCGGTCTCCGGCGCCCCCTCCCACAACGCCGACCGGAGCGGCAGAGGTGAAAAACTCACCCCAACGGCTGCACGGCTATACAAAACCGGCAGCCTGCATACCGGCGTGAAAATATCGGGAACAGGCAATCACTGATTGAGCTCCAGTTGATCTTTTTCAGCACCGGGTGTCTTCAACATACGACTGTTTCCTTATCGAGTTTTAGAGGCATTATTTTTGCAATGCCTCGCCTTTGCGAAGGGGAGCAGAGGCGGTTGTATTCCACCTTCAAACCAAACCAACTGATCGGCGGCGCAGCAGCGTTGCAGAGGCGGCGGCAGGGAGGGTGCCGGGGTGGGGTGGCCCGGTCGTTACCTGCAAGGTCAGCGCAGACGCCGGCGAGGAATAACAACTGTGTCATTCAGCAAGGAAAGTACGGCCGGCTACAGCCAGCGCGGCTGTGGCCCGCGTCATAATCCACTCGGTATGTACTCTACCGACACCGCAGGCCGCAGAGACAAAGAAATGGGACTCGTAACTGCCTGCTGTGGTCGAGGAACTACATATATAGCCATGCACTTTTTGACTCGGCACGGTTGACAATTTTATAGTTGGATCTTGAAGAACATAGCGAGCTTTCCTCATTTTGTTGCTCATATGCTGGACACCATGACTGGCGAAGACAGATAACACAGAAAACTTGCTTGGGAAATTCTGTTTTTTCATTATTGCATTTTTTATGAAATTTGATGAATGAAATGAAGTCCAAGCTGTCTTGCCTAAGTTGCTTAAATCTTATGTTTTAATTTGCTTGCTTGCTTGTCTATTTGTTTGTTTATTTGCTTGTTTGTATGATTACGAGGGCGCGCCGATAGCGAGAAAATACATTCGCTGATGAATGGTCACATGTTTTCGCTTTATTTCAATGAAGGGGGTAACTGAAGACAACGATGTTCTCTTTGACAATAAGTATCGATGCGCCGCACATCTGGACATCAGATACAGATCGGGAGCACTTTGTGACTCACTTTTGCTGCCGATGTCATCGTCCTCGATCATGTAGGGGTTGTCGAAGGCGAACCGTCCCTCGGGCTGGCCGTTCTCCGCCAGCACCACCTTCTCCAAACTGGAGCCTGCGGGAGGAGGGACCGTCAGTCCACGGGCCACACTCGATGGAGGTATCGGGAGAGGTTGGACAGTCAGTAAAAGTGACAGGTAAGACACTCTAGTCAGAAATGACAAGTCTGCGCACAGTAGAACGCAATAGAACACAGCGATACACATTGCAAAGGAACGTCGTCGGTCCTGGAAGGGAGCCAGGTGACAAGGAAAATTAGTCGACTCAAACAGGACTCGTAACGGGTAGATGTTAATAGTTGCCGACATGTGCCGTTGCGTGCTTGGCTGTTTGAATAAAGGGATTAACAAAAGATTTTATTTTAAAAGCAGTTTTGATGAATGAATTAAAACGTATCATTATATATCCGTCGTGCAATTACACTCCGACTTAAAAAACTACTCATGTACATAAACAAAAGCATTAGCGGCTTTATGCCCGATTTAACTGAAAATAATCATATGCATCTATTGTTGTATCACAAAAAAAGTATAATTTTTAGCATTGTATTTCACCGGCGACCCTGGAATAAGATTCAGACCGGACCGACAACCTGTGCGCTGTCCAGTGTCGGTTCAACTTCCGCCGTCATGTATGTGTACAAAAGCACACCTCAGGCCGGCGGCACGTCCCCGTCTGCATCCCATGTCTGCAGCGGACCATCAGGCTGTGGGACACTGCCACAGCTGTACAAACTAAGAACATTCCCGTGTTTGTTTGGGCACACCTGTCTGCCCGCAGGCCTCAGAAGGACGACGGATGTACGACCGCAGAAAACCGCCACCGTCTACACACTTGTCACGGCCGTACCCGAGTGTCTGCCCGCTGGAGTTAGAAGGACGGTAGTTACAACCACAGAGAGATGCCGCCGGCTACACATGTCACGGCCAGCGGCGGTGGCAGCCTTGACGCTCAGCTACATACAGTCCGTGATGATGAATATAGGACGGGGCTCAGGGCTGACAGCCGTGGGATTCGAATGTGGACCAGAGAGTATTCAGGTAGGGAAACTGCTCCCGAACCTCAAAACAACGGCAAGATAACTAAGTAAATGGAAGGACATTCGTGATTCAACCCTGGACAGAAGTAAGTAGACCTCTTTCGAGCTTCGAGGTACTATTCTGTACCAACTAAGATATGTCGAATGTCAGACGTGATCAGACTGAACGTGAACATTTATAGCAATCAGCCAATCCAAAGAGCAATCGACGTGATCGTCTTTGGGCGATCGTCATAGTTCTCTAGCCCTCGCCCGCACATGGGGGGGGGGGGGGGGTGGTTGCCACCCCCCCCAGGCAGTCTTTCTGCTCTGCACTCAACATTTTTAGAGCTAGAAGGCTGATTTTTCGTATAGCTGCTCGTCCATCCTTTCTTGATGTCCACTGAAAGTTTCAAGTTTCTGTGATTTTTGGTTTCGGAGATATGACCTTGTTTTTCAGGTCATGTCATGACCCAAATGGCCAATTCTCAACATCTTGCGTTTGCCATGGGCCTTGTGAGCTTTTGACACCCTGATTTCGGCCTTTTTTGCCAGTCTTACCTCCCACCTATCATGAAACATGTTGTTCGACGATGTACAGGGGTGAAGGTCAGGGTCAAGGTCAACCTAGGTCATCTAAGATAATTGCGTTTTAGGCAAGCTGAATTTACTTTTTGTGAAGTTTTTTGACTGCATTTTTGGTAAAAGCTTCTCAGATCATGATTTCATGTGATATGGACCCAAAAACAATCGGTGCACACATCAGTATACACACAGACACACACAGACATACAAACACATATAATTGACCTTGACCTAACTTGACCTGAAATGACCTCAGCAGCAAAATTCTGGTCGGATAGTGTGACAAAGAGGTTCTAGCTGGCTTGGCACCAGAAAACAGCATCGTCATCGGTATTTGATAAGCAGCGCACTTGATATCCAACGGTGACCCAAAACAGCAACATTTTTTAGTTTGACCTGACCTGGAAGGTCAATGACTGACCTGAGAAGGTAAAACTGGGTATCATTGGATTCGTCTCTTCCCAAAGAATCTTTTTGGTTCTTACTGCTAAGCTCTATCTCCAACAGGAACGAAATGGCGCGGGGGGGGTGGCAACCCCCCCCCCCCCATGTGCGTTCTAGGATGGGAAAATGGCATGTGCGGGCGAGGGCTAGAGAGCCGTCTGCAAGGACAAAGTTTGACGCTGAGCAATTTGGGTAAATGGTCTGGCTCGTGAGCGCTATGCTTGATTGGCTCATAAATGGACAGCCTCTGGCCGTTTCGTGTCAAACTATGATACGCTAGTCCCTCCTTCCTGTCCATGGAATTACAATACTTTTTTTCTATTCCAGGGGTAGCAGTACCCTGCTCCTATTCCAGGCCTATATACCCTCAGCATACCCTGCACTCTGCAATGTGCATTCTGCTCTGCAGCATTCAGTGAGAGTTCAGCCAGGCCGCTGAGAGAAACCACAATGACCCTGCCTCACTGCCATGCAGCCACACGATTACCCGGAACCGACCTTCTGTCGAGTGTAAACGGTGCAAGATCCGTGCACTGCCAGGGTCGATGGTGAACCGAACCGGCTCGACCGCAGTGACGCCCAATGCCCCGCAGTGAAACTAATTTATCTGTGGTGAAACATATTGTTACCCAGCGTGGCGCATTTAAATTTGCATGAAACTTCCCTCCCCATGTGTCGTTGGCGTGGAGGGTGAAGTGAATAGAACATTATGGAAGCGCTTGGGCATCTTTTATCGATCAAAATACATTGTAACGTCTTGGTATTGTCGTCAATTCCTTAGAAAACATTTCCGTTTAGTAGAGCCCTGAGCGTCTTGACAGTCAGGCTGCTAAGGCCCTTCCATCACAACCTTCGGCAAACCAGATGGTCTGCGGCAAGAAAACCCAACAAAGGTAACCTCTGACCTCAGTACCACTACTGCACTCATGGTCATAACATAATCATAACATCTACATATACCTATCGCTGAGGGTGAATTCCACGAGCTGGATTCACCCACATTGAGGAAATGTCCATTCAAATCGTCGTCCGTCTGCAATAAAGAGCGAATCTGTCTTCTTTGAAGGCACGAGGTGTTCGCGATTATGACGAAATGAAATCCGCCATTGCTGATGAAGGACTCGCCAGATCACGCGTTGCGGTTACCCGAGTGGGAGCCCCCGCGGTTCACCGGCGGCCGATGTGGGAGTGACGGCGGCCCGTCGAATCTTTGGTCAGCCTTGCATGTTAGACGACTGTCCATCTGGCCGGTGCGGCTGGTCAAGGTGTTCACAGTGTCAGTGTTCAGTGGTTACTGGTCAGTGGTCACTGGTCAGTGGTCAGTGTTCACTGGTCAGTCACGGAAACTGCCGGCGCCGTTAGTCTGCCCGACCATTGTCCGCGCGCTGACAGCGCCGTGAGTCAGCGCGCAGCCATGTGACGGGGCCGACCTTCCTCTTCCTTTGCAGGTGACAAATGAGCTGTACAGGGGCCCCCGGTCTGTCCCAATCTCCCTTATAGCAGGACAGAGGCACGCTGGACGGTCTTAGGTAAACGGTGACTGATGCAAGCAGAGCTCATGGAACATTCCGAGAAAATGATTGGAAAGTCACCCTGACTGAATTAGAGACCACGGACGCAGAACACATGTGTGAGTTTCGATGCGGTCTCGCGTTGTTGCGGGTTTTACATGTCAGATGCTGACGAATGGCTTGTGGTTTGTAAGTTACGTCTAACTTGCTGAAGGGATATTTCCAGCATGATCGTATTACTGGAACGGAACGTTTATGAGAAATTAACATCACATCACAATTATATGTATTTATATAAGCAAATATTATGATGGCGCATACCTATAAATGATGCTTTACGCCACTCTACGTAAAGACAAACATATCTTGCCCGTGTAAGTGTCATTCAAGTGCCAAAATGGCTGATGCACGCTTTCCTTGAATTGTTTCGCGGTGAGTTACGGTGGTTCGGAATTCCTGCTGCAGGAAGTGATGTGAGAGCGTTGAACCGTGCCCTGTCGGTAGCTGCTAGCACGCAACTCGGCTCCCAGCTCAGACACCAGCGGCCAGCGCTCCCAGGCCTCAGCTCAGACACCCAACGTAGAGCGCTCTCAGGCCTTAGCTTAGATATACGGCTCTCGCGAGATTAAGCGGTAGGTTTTGCACTTTTACATTTCCGGTTATATCTCAGAAACTAATCGATCTACGATGAAGCCATTTTACACGATCATGGCCGGCTTGTTACCCAACAAGTCGATCTCATCTTCAACACTTAAAAGCTAAAGACGACGAAGATATAGCCTGAAGTACACTAAATTTTCTAGGTGCAAAACCTACCTACCGCTCAAACCCGCGAGACCTGTACCTATAGCGGGCAGCGCTCCCAGAGATCAGCACAGCACCCAGTGTATCGAGTCAGACCATCGGCACCCAGCGAACCATAAAAAATACCCACGTACCGACCATAGCTACCCAGTGTACCGCGCTCTGCAGTCATCACCCAGTGTACCGCCCTCCCAGCAGATACCCCAGCATACTACGCTTTTAGCACACATCTCTGCGTTAAGCGCTCGGCGGCACGTTAGACGTTCCACCCTCGCGCACGAGGCGTTCCACGGTCGCGCGCGGGGCGTTCCACCGACCCCGATGTTTACGCCCGGGTTAAAGGGACCCTCCCACCTTCAAAAAAGTTTATGAATTGGCATGAAAGTGATGTCGCTCGGTTCAGAAAGAGCGAAAACAAATATCTACCAAATTTCACCGAAAAATATTCACCGGTTTTCAAGATATTAGACTTTTACTTTTGTTTACTTTTTTGGGATCTCCGCTGTTTCTAGCGACTTTATTTTAGAAGTGCGGCGTTTGCGGCAGATGTTGCGCGCAAATAGCATATACCACCGCGTGCTACAAAACGTTTTAGTCAAACATTTAAAAATTGTTAGATATTAGCGCTGACGTCACACATTCAGAGGGGTACCTATTCTTAAGCATTAGCCCCTCTGAATCAAAATGCTGCAATTTTGAAATTCAATATTTCCGATTTAAGGCATTTCTCGATGTTGTGAGTGCCGAAACCGGTAATTGTGAGCCAGGGACCCCATTTTGGCTATCTCAACTCAAATCTAATGTTAAGGTGGGAGGGTCCCTTTAAGTAAGCGCGCCGCCGCCGCAGCTGCCGAGCTGCAGCAGCCCGCCTCCGCCGGCGAGCTGAGGCCGCCCGCGGACCGGCACAGCTGACCTTGGGCTGGCTTTTTACCGGGCCGGTCGAGTCGGGGCGGCCGGTGCCGACCGATTGGTACGGGCGAAGACCGGTGGAGGCGGGATGGGACGGGTTGGGATGGGATGGGAACTGGATGGAATGGGATGGGATGGGATGGGATGGGTTGGGAACGGTTGGGGATGGGTCGGGGCCAGAAGGGATCGGCGAACGACCGGCCCAGCAGACTATTATTCAGGAGCCAATTAGCGAAGACAGCGCGGTGGGACCAAGTGGAGACGGTTGGACGGAAAACCACTGGGGACGAGAGGACAGAGGCCAGAGGGGAATGGGTGACGGGTTAAGACCGGTGGGGACTGGCAGAGTCTGGAAGGGATGGTTAGGGGCGGGTTGAAGGGAGATATGTGGATATGCGAGGGGCTGGGGGGACCAGTGGGGACGGGCAGGCCAGCGATAGTCGGGTGGGCGAGTGGCGTGTTCTTTAGATGGTAATAGAGCGCCGGGGCGGAACAGGCTGCCGCAGACGGCCAAATAAGGGCTCAGGAGCCGCGCAGCGTCCGCCTCCACTGAGGAGCCCGTTCTTTGTTGTGAGCCTTACGAGGCTGCTGAATGCTGATAACTCACTCTGAGGTGGAAACGGTACACAGACTGAGCGGTGAAAGCTCATTGATATCTACTTCTGGGCATAGGTACTGAACTGACGGAAAATATGCTTCATAGGAAAAAAACAGAAGAGAAAGGCCGCAGTGAACCCTGACGGTAGAAGGGCGGTTGTAACTACTAAGTGCAGACGCGGGTGATGGTATGTACCCGGACGGCTGAACTCACAGTGGCGCGGTTTCCAGATGTACTGGTACATGACGACGCCGAGCGCGGCCAGAGCCAGCAGCAGCAGCACGGCAAACACGGTGGCTGCCACCGAGGGGCCGGTGCCGCAGGCCGACTCAGTGCTCTGTCCGCCGGCGACCGTCACTGCCCCCGCCACCACCACCCAGAGGAGCGGCGCCCGGGCCCGCGCCATTGTGGAGCCGCACCGCACACACTGCCCTCACAAACACCTCGCGCTCCCCGCGGCTACCGGCGCGTCACTGCTGCCGCCGCCGCCGCCGGCGAACCACCTGGGATGACGCCGCCGCGCTCCCGGACCGCCCCCGGCCGCCCGGGCAGTGGCACCCTCAGCGCCCGACATCTACCGGCCGGTGGGCGTACTACTAGTGTAGTTACACCCACTGACCGCCAGGTGTCAGTAGTGGCGCCAGTCGTGGCTGGGCTGTCGCTGACCCACGGTAGGTGTCGCGGCAGGTCGGCAGAGGGTCCCGCTCCCGAGCTGAGATACCGGCCCTCGTCAGCAGGGGGCTGAGCGCAGGCTACAGCTGAACGTGAACTGCACGCTGAGCAGCAGCCCGCCTGCTGAATGAAATATTCATCGGCAGATCGGAGGGCCGATAGGCGGAGGACCCCGCCGTGTGCAGAGTCAACGTCCCGCCGCACAGGGGAGTCAGCCGAATCTCAATTGGGTCACGTGTGCTCGGGAGCAGGGTCGGTCGATAACACTGCACCCGCAGGGCGCTCATTACACGTGTGGAGGGGTCTTATTGTGCATTATACTGATGCTAGGGTGAGAGGAAGGCGGGCGGGACAGGTAGATTTATTTATTGTGGACGGGAGGCAGCCGATAATCGACCACGGCGCTCCAGGCTGCTATTGGATTTTTTTTATTGATCAAGCGATGATTTGCGAATTGTTATTCGAGATGTGTATCGTAGCTTTAATTGCACCGTATCGTAGTAAGAAGCGGTTAGTACCTAGTTATTAAAACGATTTTATAAATGTTCCTCGGAAACATCCGCAGCGACAATTAATATGAATTAACGCCGATAGTAAGATAAAAGGTAAAAGTCTGCCTTAGAGCAATTTAATTCATTTGCAGGTATAGATAGCTTGGTACGCTTTCCACTGCAGTTGACCACACTTCATGCCAGGGCTGCGGATTCGGAGTCGGAGCCGGAATTGGAGTCGGCCGGAGTCAACAGTTCTGCCCAGCCCAGAGTCGCCAACAGTTTTGGTCAGAGTCGCCAAAATCTTACCGACTCCGACTCCGGAGTCGGATTTAATTAACGCTGCATGGCTCAACGTCATGCACTGCACCTGTTTGATTGACAATACTGCGCTGGAAATAAATTTTGTCGAAAAAAGGCCATTTTGCTGTTTTGGACGATTTTCAGCGAAAGAAGCAGAAAACAGTGAAGTCCCCAAAACTGCTTTTTAATTCTGCATGTTTTTTTAATGCATATTTGCAACGCAAAGCCTTAGAAAGCACAAGGGATCGTTTCAGACAGGATAAAAACATCTCCATTATGAGCTTCAGTATCATGATATGGATTCTAATAGAACCGTCCGGAGTCGGAGTCGCAGTCAGAGTTGGAGTCGGAGTCGGAGTCAATTTTTGAAGCCGGAGTCGGAGTCGGAGTCACCCTAAAATCCATCGACTCCGCAGCCGTGCTCCATACAGTGCCTACCGGGAGTTCAGTATAGCTACACTAAGAACATATTTGAAGTAACACATTCTTTTGAACACCCATGGATGAAGTTCATTCATTCCATTCACGTCATTCATTCGTCATTGTCGGCGCGAGCGGACGTCAGGCGCCCCGCGGAGTCACAGTCCGGGAGCGGGCGTCTCTCCGGTGGCCCACATTCCACCCGTCTCTGCGGAAACCACCGCGCCGCTCCGTTACTCACATGCCTTCGGAGGCTGTCCGGGCACCCTCTGCCCATTTCACCCGCCTCTCTCCTCCCCTCCTCCCTTCCTCTCCACTCATCTCACTGCTGATGAGTGACAGAGCTCGGGTGGGGAAGGTAACCGTCTCATCATAGGCTCAGACAGCTCCAGTCGACCATTCGGTCGGTCCGCCCATCCAGAGCAGACGCCTGTTTTATTTATTTATTTCATTTATCTTTTTTTCAAAGAACCTTAGACATGAGATATGTCAATGAGAGACAAAGTCGCCAGCCGGTGACACTAGCCCTGACCCGTATGCTGAGACTCAGTCCTGGGGAGCAGACATTCTGACCCAGTAAGATTTCCTGAGTGCCACTCAGAGGTGTCAGCCGCCTCATCATTGTTCCAGCCGGCCTCCCGGCTCGGTGGGACAGTTAGCCGCTCCGGCGCCGCCGGGCAGCCCTGCATTCCTGCATACCTACCACTCCGCGGCCCGGCTGCATACGCGCCAACTGAGGCCGTGACGACCGCCGATGGTACCGGCTCACAGCGGCGGTCAGCCAGCTGTGCGGTCCGACCCAGCTGTCCAGTCCAACGCTTTACAATAGAAGATAAACGTCATTGGCAGAATAAAATGTGCATTTAAATTTCGATGACGTATTGAAACCACAAATACCCCCTGCCTGCATATTGGAAGCATATCGTATTTGCATCGGAATGAATTTGTATCTTGTCATTCATCAGGCACATCAGCAGTGAATTGTTGGTATGATTTTTCATTTATAATATCGGTAAGCAGCACATGCAAAACAGACGCCAGCTATCTATCCACACTTGTTTTGTTTTGACATACAAATCAGTAAATAGCCGGTCAGTCACTCCGGTGACAGTTCCAGCCGGCAGACTGACCACCCCACTCAGTGTGTCACGACAATGAGCCCCCATTTCCTGGGCGCGGTCCCTAATAACCACCCACCCACCGGCGGCGCTCCTGATCGGTGCCAGGCTCCATGCGCCGCCGACCACGCACCGGCCGCACACAGACAGTGGTTAACTCTCGCCTTCGTGAGTGCGCGCGTCTGAGTCACACGGCCCGGTCTGACTCGGCACTCGGCACTCGTCAGTCATCGGTAACTTTCACTCCGCGTGTGTGTCATCAGTGGTCATTGGACGAATGGCTTTTGTCATCCGTGGGTACACTATTTCATGGTCTGATCCGTGAGTAGGACATAAAACTGCCTAAAAAATGACATTTCATCATGAATTCACTTACGGATGTGAGTATCGACATCAACCTTACAACCACTACCGTGTGTGTGTCTTCAAGGGAAAGGGTGCCGACTGCTGACCGTCTTTTATCACATGGGAGTGAGCGCCCGCCCGTTCCAGCGCCCCGCTCGGCCGGAAGCAGCCCGTCCTGACGTCATTGGGGTCAGCGGAGATCCGGATTGCCCTCCGTCCGGGTCGGGTCACCGGCGGAAGACGGCAGTTGTGTAACTGGGTCCCACCAGATCCCAAATCCGGCGACCGGATCAGCGAATGAGACGTCGGATTACCGCGTGGCCTGCGCACGTACGACTGCTCACTACGCACTTACGAACAGTAACTAACGTCGTAAAACGATTGACGCAATTCAAATAAATGCACGGGGTGTCCTTCTATGCAATGTCCACAACAGAACACAATTTTAGATGCGTAAGCTGTGATGCAAAACAAACCACCAATGTTCTCACAAGATGAAAAGCACTGCTCATCCTTCCACAATGTCAAGCTAGTGTTAGATGCGAATGCGATGCATTAGGATACCTACGGATTGTCAAATTCCGTTAACGAAGTCGAAAACAGCGGTAAAGTGCATCTAAGTAGCTAGCTAGGGACGTACTCGTAAGGCAGACTTTCAACGTGCTGCACGCAGCAACCAAAAATCCACGGGAGACTGCATCGAAGCATAGGTAGGTAGCCGACACACAGAGACATCAACATGCCACAAGAAGATAGCACCACGTTCTCTCGGGTCCACGGCATTGACAATAAATTAGTAGAGAACTATGGAAGATTGAGGTGTGATTGTCCGGTGTAGGCTCCGAAGGGAGGAAAAAGAATGATAGCGGACGTCTCGAAGACTCGCACTGGGAGACTGCAACGTAACACAAGAAACTATCGGGAGACTTCGATGAAGCATTAGTAGATAACACCAGCAGCATAAATGTGCTCAGTTGCTGAAGCCAGGGCTGCGGAATCGATGGATTTTCCGTGACTCCGACTCCGAATCCGACTTTAAAAAACCAACTACGACTCCGATTCCGACTCAGGTAGAAATGTACACTCTGACCGACTCTGAGTCCGAGTCCGCAGCCCTGCCAGGTCTGCCAGGTGTCGATGGATTTTCAGTGACACCGACTTCGAATCCGGCTCCGGTTTCCAAAATCGACTCCGACTCCGTCTTCAGCCTCGGTCATTATTGTCCACTCTGACCGACTCCGACTCCGACTGCGACCACGCAGCTCTGACGGAAGCAATAATTTTCGTACCGCTTTATAAAAGAGCCGGTGGTAAGAACATCGCTTTACAAGTCAAAACCATTAGTCTAGAGATAGCTAATGCTATGATCCTAATGTTTAGATGCTTTATGTTGCGTAGAAAAGAATAATAACTGCACTTTCAAGCGGCATCTGTCTATGTATTCTTAGCAAAGCATTGCAAGAAAATGTTTGCAGAGCCCAACCCATCTGCAAACTTTAAAACAAACATTCATTTCATCTTTTTCAGAAGAGGATGTATCCATGAACTGTACCGTATCTAAGAACATATGACCTTCACCCTGGTATGTTTCTCCCACACAGCCTCATTCGCAGGTCAGAGTGCAAAGTTTGCGTTTTCCCACGGTGACTTTCACCCTTTTGCTTTCTTCTCTGGGTCGTGCTTTGTCCAGCAGAGGTGTCCCGTAGGTCACGACCGCTCCGGTGTAGGCAGAGCGGACACCGGCCGGTCCGGGGGAGGGGGGGGGGGGTGGGCAGAGGTCACACACGCTCCCGGACGACTGCCGCGGCCCGTGGCGGCGCGTTGCAGCGGGGCCGTCGCCGCCGCGCCGCGCCCGCCGCTCCGATCGGGGTCGCGGCGCGTCGCCGGGTCACGGAGGCCCGTCGCCGTCGGAGGAGCGGCCGCCGGTGGTCAGTTGGCCGCGCTGGGCCGTCGGTACCGGCCGCACCAGCCCCGCTCCGCGCCCGGACACCGCCCTCACCGGACCTGACGGGCGGTCACACAGCGGGAACAGCGGAGACGGGGACAGCACAGCCGACCAGCGGAGACGGACTGATAGCGGGCGTCTACACAGCTACACGGTGGGTCACCCGATAGGGGTGTGCGTGATGGGCTTAGGCAGATCGTCCGAAATCATTTATTGTAGGTACTTAATCCACATAACTTGTCGATTTTTTAAAAACATTCTTATTATAAATATTA